GGAATGGGGATAGGAATGGGGTGGAAATGGAGATGGAATTGGGGATGGAATTGGGGCTGGGGCTGGGGGCAGGACAGAAATGGAGATGGAATTGGGGCTGGGGCAGACGGGCCAGCAGAGCTTTCCACTCCCCGCTCCAGCTGCAGGGTAACCTTAAACGCCAAAGCAGCAGCGGCCGGCGGGGACGGAGTTTTTCCAGTGCCATTCCCAGCTGTCAGGCCGTGATTAATGGCCAACAGCCTCGGAATTGCCTTTATTGCCAGCCCGGTATTGTTACTTGTGACAGCTAATGAGGGCAGACAGACCTTACACCGCGCCCCACAGGGACCCAGCCCACCCCAACCCACCCGGGCTCCATCCCACATCTGTCCCCACAAGCCTGGAGCACCCACAGACCCCAAATKGTCTCAACTCCACAGAAAACCTCCCAGGATATTTTTACAGGGGCACAGGGATGAGGTAGAGATGAAGAAGTTCTCAAGTTCTGAACAGAACCGGGTGCAATAAACCATTTATTCCTACAAAAAGCCCTGTTAAAATCCCAAACACCACACCACAGACACCACTGAATGTTCCTGGCCCCAGGTCCAGCAGTAATGATTTTTTTTGGCTTTTTTTTTATTTTTTTTTTTTTTTTTTGATTATTACAAATAATATTTACCTTTGTGTGGGTTCACATCTTGATGCTGTTAAAAACGTGGCCGCAGCTGCTTTCCCGTTCAGGGCAGTGATATAGTGCTGGTGTTATGAAGCAAAACCTCTCCTGCGAGCCAGAACACCCCACTTTTAAAAATCTATTACTTTTCAATATTCCATGGGTGCATTTTGCTCCAGCTCAGAGCAATTTCCGAGTTTACCCTTATTAAACTGAGCAGAGGTTTGTGATTTATGAAACACATACTAGATTCATTAAAACCTTTAAAGATTTAATACATTTTATCAAGGCCTTAAATCTGGGCAAACGCCTTYAAAAAAAACACCAACTACAGGGTGTTTTTCATCTCTGGCGCCCTTTTGGGCTTATTTAAGAGCTGTAAAATTTGGATTGACAAATACCGCGGATATTTCATTCCCTATTCCTAAATGGCGCTGAGCCCTCCTGACAGGGTTGTTATGTATAACCTCGRAGATCTATCAGGAGTAAAAGATCAAATCGTTCTCCTTTATGGACGTTTTATACATTTCTCACGTGGTTTTTAAATCCCCTTCCACAATTACAGAGTGAGGATTCCATGTTTTTTGGCCCATCCCGTTTCCTGGAATTCTCAAACAAGTCCGGACAGGGAACAGGGGGGTCCATGTGGGAGGAGGTCAAGGAAGGCAGAACTTTTTGTGGGTGATAAAAAGAATTGAAAAAGGGGAAACTGAGGCTGGACATTGGGAGTCAGATCTCCAGGAGCATTTGGACAACACTCTCAGGGACATGWTGGCATTGATGGGGTGTCCGTGCRGGGCCGGGAGTTGGACTGGATGATCCTGTGGGGTTTTTTTCTGCTGTGATTCTGCGGTGGGAAATGTCCCGGGTCACATCACGGGTGGAACGGGGGATTCTCAAGATCCCTTTTGATCCTCAACGCTCCCGTGGGCTCGGAGCGTTAGGGAGGAATCCCTGCACGCCGCTGTTCCGCTCTGTCCCCTGTCTGGAGCGGGTTCCGAGCTCTGGGGGTCCCGCAAAGCCCCCAAACCCCACCGAGGGTCGCGCTGCGGGCGGGGGCGGGACTCGAACCCGCGACCTCCAACTCCGCATCCGCCGCTCCTCCACCGCCCCCTGCCGATGGCTTCCCGCTCGCCGGCGCGCGGTGATGACGTCAGTGGCGCGCCGCCGGTGCCGCCGCCGGTGCCGGGCATGGCCCAGCTCGGCGCCATCGCCGCCCTCGCCCTCGGCATCGCGGCCGCCGCGCTGCTCTCGGCCGTGCACAAGATCGACGAGGGGCA